TTTATCCTACCTTGGATAAAAGGAACGGATAAACTTTGATACAATGCTTGCTTGCACTTACTAACCAAATCACACACAACAATATGTTTTATAACATCAAGTTACTAGTGCGTTTACATATTATCAATGTGCAACCGATTTGAAAGATACAACTCACACATCTCGGTTTCAAGAATATAAGATGTTATCGTCTCACCAATCACTCGTGATACAATTCATGGAGTGATCCAAGCGAGCGTGGGTTTAATCCAATGCTCAAATTCATATTCATAAGCACTCATGAATGTTGCAGCAAACATTTGCTTATGTCTAATACTCTTTTAGACAATCCACACACCAATTCACGACAGTCTTCATTCATACCTACTTCCAACATATGAACGCCTGTGACCCGTTTGAATAATTCGATTATTCTTAATAAATTCAATTATTCTGGAAGTCAAAACATGCAAAGTGAAACACAAGAATAATACTAATCCCATATGGCCTCAACCCTTTGAGTATAAATAAAACTCCTTTTATTTATCACCATATCGATTACTCATTATTTGTCGTTTCGGGTAATCAACTTCTTACTTGAATTATTACACTTGTCCCATGCTCCTAGCATGCACACAATGTTTACCTATGGTTCTTACTTTGTGAAATAGATCACATTGAACACATTTCCAATCATTCTAATTTCACAACTCCTAATCCTTTTCCATAAGTGTAAGAATATCAAATTCTTGGTACTTATAGAATATGCTAGATTCTAACATTCTATGCAATGATTCTTTCGTAATGTCATTGCACCAAAGTCACAAAGACTATTGCCAATGATATTACAAAATCTTCTATCGGAGATTGTTACAAGACAATTCCTTAGATATGATGTCTCTCACTCAAAGTACATTCCTTTGAACATCCTTGTGCATAAAAGTTTCTAATCTAGACATAGATTTTCAATATTCAATTCCCAATATGGACACGCTTCCATATTTTCCATATGACAACTCATTCTTAATAGAATCTAATCTATTCGTAATGATGTCGATATGGTCCATTCAATACCATGCTTCCAACTACTCACAAACAACCAATCCTCGTCGAACTTTGGATTGTCCTTTGATAGTTGTTTAATTATTTTGGTCAAAACCAATTCTAGTCCCTTTTTCCTCTAAATGCGCTAGACATTTTGAAAATTTTAGAATGGTCAAACATTAAATCATTTTCAATCGATCTTATACCCGAAGCGTATGGGACACGATGCATAATGTTTTGTTTGCTATGTTCTCAAAATTCGAATTGTGAAAAGGAATTCCATAATCATAATCGAAATTTTAAGAACACACTATGTACCTTTGACTAAATTTATTAACATTTCTCAACCTAAGCCTTTAGATTTGAAATGAAGCATAATATTCTCTCCCTTAATTATAGCAAAACAACTTTACAACCCTTACGACTTTGCAAGGTATAACTCTTGTTTTTCTATAATTAATATTGCCAACTTGCAATACTTTCCATAATAATCATACAATCATAACTTTTATGCTCCCACTATCATGATGATTACTATAAAACATAACACTTATGCTCCTACTAGCTTCGACATGTATTCAAAACATCTTAACTTCCAGAAAAACAATACCTATTGAATTTCTTAAGTCAAATGTTTATAATACTTAATGCTTTTTGATAATCTTTTATCAAGGCTTCTTGAACTTATACACCTTTGCCTTAGATAGTCATATGTGTGTCTTAACACTTAAGATTAATTGTCAAACCTCACAATTCAAATTATGGAAAGGGATACCGTAACCATAATCGAATTCGAGAATGCAATTTTACAATCACTATCTTCTTAAAATCTTTCTTAGTGAAAGCATTTCCTCACAATCATTTTCATGAAGGAGGAAATCTTATGACACTTAGATTTTAATGGTGTATATGTTTCTATCCATGTGAATTTGTCAAAACCAAAGTTTACGACAAATTCAAACTCATATGGACCGAACTTTCTTAATCTTGATTTCTTGACTTATGGTAGCACAACTGCCCACCACGTCTTCCAAGTAGTTAAGCATCTCACCTTTTTCCTATCAATGTACCTTTCATTGATCAAGGTGCCTTGCCTTTTATGCGTTCAAAATGAGAACTCATAGAACTCACATGCATAATTAACTCAATTGGAAACAGCACAGAAACAAAATAATGTCAACACGATAGGTTGTAAACCTCAACTCGTGTGCTAGTGATGATCAATAAGGTTTATTTGACTTGTTCTTGAAACCTTTCAAGACATTTAAGGCTCCCACTGACTCCTTGAAATATAAGATTCTTTTGTCAATAATCATTTCTTGACAAACAAATATTCAAGAGTTAGTGTAGTTTTTATCAAAACACTTCATAAATTGGTCCTAGTCGGTCTTTGTCTTATTCAAGACATCACAACTTTCCACATTAGATTAATGTTATAAACCTTTAATACTTTTCACTCATTGTCACAATCTTAACTTTAAGACTTGTTATTGGAACGAAGTATGATAGACTTCTTGATTTAACCATTTCTTCAATCCTTGATTCCTCTTCTTAAACATATAATTGTACTAAGACTCACTTAGAGGATCAATTGAGATATGGTTCTTAATCATTAAGATCTATCATAAAGCATAAAAGCTACTCTCCCTTCTTCTTAGAATGGAGAGACTTCTATCTTTCTGCCTACTTGATTCTTCTTATTCGTTCTACTATTGATCTAAACCCTTTAATCAATTCAGAATTACACTTAATCTTGTAAGTGTAATCATATTTACTAAGCCTTTAGTAAATCATGACGAATATCTTTGTTACTCTTATGGTGAACTTGATCAACACACAACTTTGTGTACTCGATCTCCTAGTCCTTCACTTGACACTTTGTCAATGAATTTGTCTAATTTCCAAATATGAAATTTCTCATTCATCATGCAACCAAGTTGCGTGATTCCAAATTTCAATCCAATTGAAACTTTGGGCGATGAGAAACTCTCCCTATTTGGTAAATTCTCGACATTTCCATAAATAACATAACTAAGAATCATATCCATTCGTTGTACAAATATGCAAACATCAATTTTCATAACGATTTCATTGCAAGGAAGTAAACAAATAAATAAATAAGTCAAAATTTATTTTATTTATAAAAGCAGCGGAAAAACATTTGTCCTTACAATGCAAAATCTATTGAAAACTATGTAAAAGGAAATTTTCTATCATAACTATCTAAGCTCAAAATCCAATCACTACTAGAAAACAGACCTTTAATGACGTGCTTTTTACGACACACACTGATTAATGATACGCAAAAGGACGTGCCCTTAAAATAGTGTTATCTCTCCAAAAAATTTAAGGATTCACGTCACGCATTACTGCGTGCCTTTAATTTAGTGTCTCAAGAAAAAAAATTAAAAACACGGAGGGCACTTTATCTTAAACGCGCATCGTCTGTACCTGTCGCTTTATAATTTTAATGAAACGCGCTTTTAGTAGACAAGGGGGGAAACGAAATCCCTAAAATTTTGAAAACCCGCCTCATTTTTTCTATCTTCTATTTCTTTCTCTCTCTCTCTCTCTCTCTCTCTCTCTCTCTCTCTCTCTCTCTTTTCTTTCAAGCCCTAAGCCCTAAACGGCCTCCACCAACATCTGAACGAGCCCTCGCCAGTTACCTCTACTCCACCATCAAGCTCTTGCTCCGCCTATGGAGGTGTTGGCGCTGCTGGTGGTTGTCCTTCAGCTTCCACCATACCTCTTCACGATTATAGTCTATAGCAGCTCGTCTTCCCCTCTTTCTCTCTCTCTAGCTCTCTCTCTCTCTCTCCCTTATCTTTCAAGCCCTAAGCCCTAAACAGCCTCCACCAGCATCTGAACGAGCCCTCGCCAGTTATCTCTACTCCACCATCAAGCTCTTGCTCCGCCTATGGAGGTGCTGGCGCTGCTACTGGTTGTCCTTCAGCTTTAGCCACACCTCTTCACGGTTATAGTCCGTAGATAATGATTTATGTTTGTGAAGAAACAACGGCTTTGACAACCGCGATGGCGGAGAAGTTGTATTCGTGTCTGACAAGACTGGTGGCAGCGGTAGCTATCCTCCAACCCATCTCTCCTCTCCGCCACCGTCGCTGACCTACGCGCCGCCTGTAAGAGTTCAAGAGGTTTCGATGATTTGCTTCCTGGCTTTGGAAGCGGCGGTTATCCATCTAGTAGCAGGTACTGTGTTATGATTTAACTACATTTTAGTTGTTTAATCCACTTATTTATGGAATTTATCTGCTCTTGGTTTTGAAATTGTATAACTCTATTTAGTATTTAACATCATAGCTAGGTTTTCATATGGATCAACTATCGCAAGTGAAAACTTATATTTGTTACTAAGAAAATTCATTTGTAAGAGTTTGTGCATTAACTATAGAAACATAGTTATCATTAGTCATAAGTTAAGTGGAATCATAATTGCTTGCCTTTATGTTACTGAAACAAACTGCTATCCTACACATTATAGAACTGATATCACTAGAAGAATTCCATGGTAATATAATTAATGATAAAGGAGTCTAGTGATATGCAAACTCCAATAAGTCAGTAGCTTTTCAAGGATTCAACTACTTTTGTTTTTTTTAAAGCTAAATATGCCACATTTTACTTCTCTGGTATTTTATTTCTACAATTTCCTGATGTAATCCGGGATTATAATGAACGCATAAATAGATGCAGAAGCTCTTGCTTTTTTGTTTCTGTTCCCTTATGCTTCTGAATTTTGCCTACAGAAGAATGCCAATCTGATTTTAAAATGTGTTAAGATGGTGAACATTGAATGATATGAAAAGTCTAATGCGGAATATCATACTTTTCTCATAGGTCAAATTCAGAGACAGTGCCAGCATCAACTGGCAACACAATGAAAAGAGAGAGAGAGACAAAGAGACACACACACACACAGAGAGAGAGAGAGAGAGAAAAGTAGACTTGAAAAAGAGAGAATGAGGGAGATTGAAAGGGAAAAGGCTAGGCAAGCTGTGGAAAGGGCAACAAGGGAAGCCCGTGAAAGAGCAGCATATGAAGCACGTGACAGAGAAGCTGCTGAAGCTCGTTTGAAGTCTGAAAGGGCTGTTGTTCAAAGAGCACAAGTTGAGGCACGTGAGCGGGCAGCTGTTGATGTAAATGGAAGGGCAGAACGGGCAGCGGGGACACGTCAACGATATGAGGTCATTCCTTTGTCTCCAAACAGTGGGTTGAATGAGTGGTTCCCTAATTGTGACACCCTCCACAAACTGATCCGAGAGTACAATGCTGCAAAAAGAAGAAATTAAAGTATAAAAAAAATCAGTGAAAGCATTTTGCTATTTGTTGCATATATGTAACTCTAATATGTAACTCCTGCTTTACCATGTTTTCCATTTTGATGGTGATATAATCTATAAAGGATCAATTGATTTTTGCAGACGTGTATTGTCTCTGCCTCCAATAATCAATGGAGCCCACTCAGCTATTTCTACAAATACCAAGAACGTGTTCATTGAATGCACAACCACTGATTTGACAAAGGTCAAGATTGTGTTGAACACAATGGTTAAGTGTTTAATCATACTTTTAAATGATTTTTAAAGAACAAGTGTATTGATAGAATTATGCATTTATTTATTAATTGTAGGTGACAATGTTTTCTTTATACTATGAATGAAAGTTTGAAGTGGAGCCAGTTAAAGTAATATATTCTGATGGAAAATCCTACATTTTCCCTGAACTATCACCCTACGATATGGAGGTCTCTCTAACATACATAAATGATATCGCTGGGGTTACATTGGAAGCAAATAAGGTACTAAACTAAAACTTGTCTTTTAACTTGTTATATGATTACTTACATTAAAATGACTTTTTTACCCTCCATCATTCAGGTTGCTCCCCCTAGATGTTTCAATTGACCACATGAGTAATATTGTTTGATTCTGACACACTCTGAGACATTTTAAAAAAAACAGAAAAACAAAAAAAGACCCTAGTTGTATGTTTAAAACTTAACCTAATAGGTAGTATTTATTTCATCTCATCATTTGATAAAACAGCCAAACCATCCCCTAGAGTTTATTCATTTATCATGATTTCTTAATCTTTATGTATTTTTTAATAGCAAAAGTCCATATTTTTAGGAAAAAATTTCGTGGAAAAGTAAATTCTTTGCAATTTGTCCATCAGAAAATAACAAGCTTAGAAAATTCTTACCCTATTTATAGATCTTCGTGACGTTAAACCATGGTAATAAGTTTTGCTTTCAATCAAAATATTTCGTTGTGTTTTTCCAATTTAGCAAGAAGCTTTAAAAAGATCTCAAATTGCATACAATCCTGAATAAACATGAGAAAAGAAGAAGAATTATTTTATTCTTTTTATAGGATGGAAATTGCTATTTATTTGGTGAAATAAATGTAAGTATATTGTTGTTTCTTGAATTTTCACTTTTATTAAACTTGAAATTATAGAACTACAAATTTTTTATTCCATTAATTTCTTTCTATTACTTTCTTTTACGAGATTATTGCATGCCAAACATGGTAATATTTGTTTCTTTTTTTAGTTTATATGAGTTCGAAAATGAAAAGACTATATTCTTTTATTGAATTTCTTTAAAACAGGGGTAACTACTTTGATATGAATCAATGTATGGTCGTGTAAATCAGGTTCCTCCTACAACAACTCATATAGGGCAACTTCAACTGACTAGTCACCAAAAGGTCGTAGAGACTGTTGCTCTATGAGAAATTGCTCATCTTATCATCCTCAAACATAAATAAACAAACACATAAGGACCACTGTACAATGCACTTTTCACGGATGAAGGCGAGTCAAGACTTTGACTTTTCTTGTTCTTATAATTCCATCCTTTCTTTCATAGTTTCATTAACATTTTTATGGAAAAGGGTATTCTTACAAGACTTCTCTGATTGCAGGTGTTGCTGATGTTGTCCATCCTTTCTTTCATAGACTTCTCTGCTAGTGAGAACGCAGTTGAGATGCTTGTGTATGCTCATGAGACACAACATGAAAAGATCATAAGGTGAATTAAGAATTTACAATTAATACCTTTTAATATTATGTTAAATAGTAGTTAGTTATGACATGTATATAAATACAAGGTCATTGGGGTCATTATACCCCCATAATTTTTTTTTAAAAGATAGGTAACTATTTGTTGCGCTTAATTTATGGATTGATAACATTAAAAAAATCACATCTCATAGTATTTTCAAATATACATTTCTCCTTTTGTCTTACAATTGTTATATTGAATGTTCAGGATGAGTTAGATAACATAACTCGTTATCTAATACTAGCAAGAGAACCTATAATCCCAGGAATTGACAAGCCCCATAAGGTAACAAAAAAGATAATTTATTTTATTGTATTTTAAATCAAATGATGTTGTGATGGTGGGAGAGGTGTTGTATTTTTCTCTGTTGCTAGGTAACCTTCTCAACAACAACATTCTACTTAAGTAGGTGAGTAATCAAGATTAAGGGAGACTTGTAATCATGTTTGGCATTCCTTTCCAGTAAGAAATAGAGTTGTATGATTATTTTTTAGTTTTATAGGAATGTATAACCCATGTTAGCAATGTATTATTTTTGTTTAACATTTGAATGATTCTTTGTATGACATTATAATTTGTGCAATTTATTTTATTTTTTTAGTATGAAATTTTATTTTATATTATGCAATGGATTGTATTTTTTGTATTTGGTATTTTATTTCTATTATGAGAAATTAAATGCAAATTTAATTTAAAAATTAATAAATATATAAATTTATTTTTTTTAACATTTAAATTTACGATACGCAAAAATGTGTGTCATCTTCATTTATGACGTGGCCTTTCTTGACAGGGGCTTTCTTGATACGCATTGCGTGTCATTAACACGCACGTCGTAAGGTTACGACATGCGAATGCGTGTCGTCTTCCTTTATGACATGGCCTTCCTTGATACGCATTGTGTGTCGTAAACGCGCGTCGTAATTGCGCGTCGTAAATGAGCGTCGTAAATGCGCGTCGTCTCTCTTTATGACATGGCCTTCCTTGACACGCATTTGCGCGTCGTCTGAGCCTTTTACGATGCGCAATGACCGTCGTAAAAGACTGTTTTTCTAGTAGTGAATCTTCAAGTCCATGCGATCGAGATCCATCTCTTGTAATTAGATTCATCTTGCTCTCTTATCAAGCTTCCTTTCTTTTCACCGATCCTGCAAAACATTCAAATGCAATCTTATCACATCATGTATTAAGAATCAATGAATAGGAACTTAACGGAATTAGATAGTGGATTTTACCTGAAGCGTAGTCATACTTTTGACTCTCCCATCTCTTAGATCTCTTAGGTAAATAGGGCAACTTCGTCTCCAATGCCCCTTCTCTTGGAAATAAAAGCAAATTGACTCTTTTGGAACAACACATGGAACTACTTCAGACATCGCCTTTCTCTTACGATCAAACTTTTCGATCATTGCATGTCTTTCATTGCCATTGTCTATATCCATAGAGGTCTTGAAGGCAGATTCGCCAATCAACTTTGCTTTTCTATTGCGCCAAACCATTGCTGATTCAGCAGCAATAAGCATGTAGGTGAGATCAATAAGGGTCACGTCGTGGTTCATCATATAGTACTCTCTTACGAACTCACTATACGAGTTAGGAAGTGACTGAAGAACCCAATCAACAGCCATCTCTTCACCGACAACGGATCCCATCATTCTTAAACTATCAATGTGTGACTTCATCCCTAAGATGTGTGCACACACCGACTTTCCTTCTTTATGTTTACTTGCCAAAAAGGGCTTGAGTGATATTGAACCTTTCAATTTCACAATCTTGTGGGTTAGGGAGAATAATTGGAAGGGGAGGAGGAAGTGAAGCATGATTTCTTGTTCCTCGATCGAATCGTGGAATATCATCTTCATGTTGAATGCTTGTTCCACGGGATTTGGGAAGACCATAGTTGTCGAACTTTGACATCTACAAAACGGGAGAAAACAAATTCAAGTTAGTTGATCGATTGAGTCCTTAGTAAATCACCCAAATGAGATACCAAGGCTAGGACCCAACACAATACGCTACAACCTAGAAAAGGGATGTCGTAATCTAGTTGCAGAATATTTGAAGGTAAGTGAATGACGATTCACTAATTTCCACCATGGAAAAATGAAAAAAAATTAAGTTTTAAATCTATGAAAACTCCTAGATCCTTTGAGATTCATTGAACATTTCAATGGCATGTTTAAATCTCGATATGCCCCTCTCGTTTGTGACTGGGATGTCGAGGATCACAAAGCGGATGTGAATAACCATGCAAAGTTACATGGTGCCCTCACATGTTACAGTCACCTATTCGATGTGCCGGTAAACCACACACGCTCCACCGAACTATGACAAACATTGAGTCACCCTTTGCTACCTTTGCTCAGAACCATTTAGTGTGCTGGTAAACCACACACGCTCCACTAACGCCTTCGCAAGGGCACAAAGTGTAATTTCATGGAATTGCATCAATTCACTTTGCCTAAGTAACTAAGATTGGGAATTTGTAAAAACATTTAGTTACTTTTGTATTTCATTATACTTATAATGGAAGGTTTCGTCCTATCCTACCCATTCAGCTAACGATCCTCCACTAGTCAAAAGTGCGGTGGGTAAGAGTGGATACCCATTCAATCGCCATTTTATAGGCAATTTCCTTAAACACCCCTTATAGACCAGCTTCGTGAATGAGACCTACTAACGGTAAGACAACTTTTACTCATACATATATATAATGTTAGACTTTTAATGTTATATATAGTATAGGGTGCATTTTACACTTTTAAAATATTAGGTGATCAAATTTAACAATTATACTTTTAATTCAATTAAATTGTAAAACTAAACTTTTATGGATTTATTGAACCTCTTTTAATTATACACCATAATTAATTAATAAAACCATAAGGGTGTAAATTGAACCTTTCAAAAGATTACTAGGGTTTTAGAATTTAACATTCCTAATTAAACTTTTAATCAACTTTTAAATTCCAAAACTTGAGGGCAAGTTTTGAAACATTTCAAAACATTAGGGTTTAGAATTTAAATATACATTACAATTAGACTATTAATCAAAATTTAAATTCCAAAACTTGAGAGCAAGTTTTGAAACATTTTTTCAAAACATTAGGGTTTTAACTATTTAAATTTTAAAACTTCAAAACTTTTGGGTTCAAATTTAAACTATAAAACCTAAAGGGGAAAATATGAAACTTTTCATTACAACAAGGATCAAATAACAAATAATTCAAATTAACATTTAATCACATAATTATCCATATTTGATTTATTTAATGATTTCTTGCAAAACAATTTATCAATTTACTCAAAATAATTAATCAATTATCACATAAGGAAACAATTATCTTATTAATTGATAAATATCTTCATTTAGATCAAAAATATAGTCAAATATATCATATAATCGGATTAATATTGATCTAACATGATAAGTTAACTATCCTAATGCAAAAACAGCAAGAAAACCCGAGATTCCCTCCTTCTGACGAGCTGACTCGTCGAGTCAGGCTTGGACTCGTCGAGTCTGCATGGACTCGACAAGTCCAGCCTCCAAAACACCAAAAAACGATTTTTTTTGAACATGTAATGCATCA